AAGTGCTAACGTCTAAGTGTTTGGCAATTTTTGAATTGATAAGTTTTCTAAATTTTTTTTTCAATTATTTGCTATATGGGGTCTTTGCCTTGAAAATGACCTTACGATACATGATACCGTAAGGTCATTTTCAAAGCAAAGACCCCATATAGCCAATATACTTTGAAAGTATCATATTTGGAATCTATTATGCCAAAATCACAATCTTAATCGAATCGGCCGAAAAATCATTCGGCTAATTTTTTTCAGGTATCCCAGAATTTATGAAAACAGCTGGTAAATAACAAAATTTGCACGCAATATCAACCGGGCGGGAAGCCATCCATATTCGCAATTTCTAGATATTCATTAAAATTTGGCCACATGATAATGTACTAGTTATTACATAAAAAAATTTTAAGAAAACAAATGATAGTTATTTTCGACAAGGTTGATGTAAGCATTCTATAAATATAATGTACTATAGAAAGAATCTATAACAAAATTAAATTCTGCTTTAGTAATTTTCGATAAACAAATTATATTTAGTGTACAATTTTATAAAATTTAAATTTTTTTTTTTACCTTAAGTTTATAGTGTTCAATTTACTTCAAACTATTACTATAAATTTTTTAATTATATTTTAATAATATATTTCGATCTTATATCCTTTCTCTGGATTAAGAAATACATAAATAATAACGATAAAATAAAAATAAAACATGGTATTAAGCTGGACGTTCTAGAAAACATATCATCATTAACTATTAAAAGTTTCACGAAAACAATACACATTCAATAAGCCGGATTATGAATATGCTTTTTTAAATAATGCTCGTATAAGTTAAAGTTATTACATTTTTTTTTTATATTTAGAGAAAATCTTGCACTACAAACAATGAATCAGAGTTCAAATTTTGCTTAATAAAATCAGAATAATTAAATTCTTTGCTAAAAATTGACTCTTCAGGATTCTGTATTATATTTTCCGGAGGTGGTCTTGTCATTCTAAATATATCATCATCAAGGAAATCTTGAACTTCAAATTTGTCGGATATTTCGGGTTTAGAAAGAAGTTCTTTAAATAAATCATTCACACTTTCAAATTTCTTTTTAGTTTCACCAAGAATTTGAATTTTTTTTTTAGTTTCTTTAATAATTCTAAGGAAATCATTTAAAATATGTAATAATCGGCTAATATTTGTAAGAATTTCATAAGCAATGGGTCGTTTATCTGGATTTGAATCCCAACATTGAGTCATTAATTTAGCATATGATGATGGTGTGTCTTTTGGAATCTCTGGACCTGGTTATAATTTTAAAGAAATTTAATATTGCGGCAAAGAAAATTTATTAAAACGTTGATACCTACGTAATCCTAGACAAATGTCTAACGCGAGATTTTGATCGAATGGTCTGTTCCAAAATGGTCGGCAGCCTGTTATCATTTCATACATTATCATTGCAAAACTATAAATATCTGCGGCAGGCGTAAGTGGTTCTCCTTTTAATATTTCTGGTGCTATATATGGTAAAATTCCATATACTGTTCCTTGAACATCTGTTTTCTTGCGTTTAGCTTTGTCTTGTATTATAGAATACGATAATCCAAAATCTGCAATAATAAGTTTATCATCGTCATGAAGTATATTTTTTGTATGTAAATCACCATGTATGATCCCTTCATTGTGAAGGCCTGCAAGTTCAAAAATGAGACTACATAAAAACTTAAGCCTTTGAGACCAAAGGAGTTTCCAGTAATCTCGAGCAATTAACGATCTTGCATCTTCCTCATATAATTTCATGACAAGAAAAGCTTGTTTTAAAGATTTAAAGTATGAAATACCAAAAGATCTTGCACAAATATTATATGTATTAAGGGCAAATTGCCGGAACGCCTTATCGGGAAAGTTATATTTATTGAGAGATTTAATATAAAATGGCCAAAATATAATTATAAAAATTTATGCTTACCTCATCAAAACCCACAATGTCGTCTGGTATGGTCTTTAATACAACAAGTTGAGGACCTTTTCTTTTAATACTTGATTTATTAAAGTCTATACTTTCAATTTGTCCATCCATCCATTCTGCAGTATATATATTAGCGAAACCACCCATAGACATAAACTTTTTATTTTGTAATCTTTCTTCGGGAATGTATTCTATAAATGATTCGACTCCTAAAGACATTCCATCACCTGTAAATAATGCATTAAAATATTTATTTTCCATTTTATCTTCCATGTAATATTTATTCATACAATCAGCGCTGCAAAATTCCTTATCGTCTTTTTTCTCGAGCTTACGTATACCTATGCGAACATTTTTGCCACATTTGTTACAATGCACATAGTAATTTTCATTCTTAAATGAGTTAGGTCTTATATTTTGAAATATTTCAGAAATATGATTAACTGCCGAAACCATATGATCAAAATGCATTTCCCTTTTTGAATGAATTAAATGTCCAAATATATCTTCCGGTAATTGTGAAAAATAAATATCTTTTGCACACGGTCTACACCAATTTTTGGCAGAGTTTTCACGCTTACAACGTGGACATTCGCCAAAATTTTCTACAAGCTTCTGGTCATATTTTTCTTCTAATGATTCATTATTACTAGCTTTATCAGCTTTATCAAATCTTGCAATCCTTTTCTTTAACAGCTCTGCCAGATCAGGATCAAATAAAATACTCTCCATATTGATATTCATGTTTGTTTTTTTTTTTTTTTTATTAAATATAACAAAGATTTGATTTCGTTACTGTTTATATAAAGTAATACGTATACGTAGATCATGTGTGTAAAAATTTTAATTGAGTCAAATGATTGACGCAAAGTTTCACATGTAAACTTTAGGCAAATTTTGCTTTCTCGACTTATTTAGCAAGAAGAAGCCGACAATTTAATTTCTGGGTCTGAGTTTGCAACTTCTCTAGCATTAGAAGGTTCTTCCCATAAAATTTTAGGGTGATTTTTAATAAAATTGAAAAGAATCATGGCCACGAAGTTTGCCAATTTTTTGACGATTTAAAAAAAGCAAAAATGTACAACACTGTGTCCAGTAGTCACTGCGTATATGTAGCTCTGCACTAAATTTGGTTAATCATTAATTATTTTGAACAAAGTTTTTAAGCTAGGTAGTCACTGCGTATATGTAGATCTGCACTAAAATGTTTTGAACAAAGTTTTTAAGCTAGCTCTTTGAATAAATTCAGACGCCAACTCCATAAATTAGTAACTTCCAAAAAAAGGATTTCCCAAATATATTAAATCTAAACTCCGTAAATCGAGCACGTTAGCCAATCAATCTCGTTTATCAAAAACTTTTCTTGAATTACTAAAAAAGTATTTCCTAATATGAAAATAAACTCAGACACCAACTCCATAAATTAGTCCAAATACGTATAAGTAAACCATTAAATCTGAACTTCGTAAGCCAGTCAATCTCGTTTATTAAAAAATTTCCAAAGAAAGTATTTCCCAAATATGAAATAAGCTCAGACGCCAATTCCATAAATTGGTCATTTCCAAAGAAAGCATTTCCCAAATATAAGTAAACCATTAAATCTGAACTCCGTAACTCGAACATGTTAGC